TTGCTGCAACTTCCAGATGAAATACTACACATTGTGCTGATAAGTGGAATTTCAGTATCACACTCTAGGCATTATCTTTCGCATGTCGATCGCCAGCCGAGGAGTCTTCAATCTCGACCAAGTGATTAATGGCATTCAAGCCTCCAGTAGTGATTTGAGTGTGCGTGCACTAAATTATCCTGTGCAAATCCCGCTAAATGGTTCAATCACCAGCATTGTTGCGACGGCGACAGTTGGAAATCGCAACGCTAAAGTACTCTTAATGAGACAGTGAGTGGGTTGATCACATTTCTCAATCAAACTATAATGTGTGCGCGCGCTCTTTTGCAATGCAGGCTCTGTTGGGGCCGAACCACCGAAAAATTTGCGTTACTAACACAGAATTTCTCGACACGACTCTCACGTGTTGCTAATCAGTGCAATTTGGCTGAAATTGAGGTCTAGATTGAGGTTTTCGCTGTTGGTGAGAAAGTGTCCATTAGACTTGAAATCGTGACACTCCTTTTAATGCTCAATTCAACCTCTCCCACACCCGCAATTCTGCCTCGCAACTCCACGCATTCAATTAATTACGCAAAGTAGACAATTTTCTTATTAAAGAGGAGCGCCCAGAGTCGCGACGACAAATTACAAGAGAACAACAAGAGCTGAGAATGCTGGTGGAATTTTATTGAGAAATAAGATCACACTCTCTCTCTCGTGAGTTGTGTCTCCGTTGAAGACGAGGACAGGAGGTAAATAAATTGCCACAAGGAGCTCGAGAAATCCACTTACAAGGTCTTCACCATTCACGATTCTAAGCAGAAAATCATTCGCCGAGCGGACTTTTCGTTTGATTTTCCGCACAGTTATTCGCATCTCAATTACCTTCACCGGTTCAATCTTCGAGTGGTGCTTTCATCTCAATAATTCTGACAGTAATTTGTCCCTAATAAGCCCAGTCAAATGATACAAAGTGGAGTTCACTCGCGAAGAAAAGCTGGTGTTGAACTGCGCAAATCTTCCAGACAGGTGATTTATGAATTGTGAATGCCTTATCGGCAATGACCAAGATTCACACCAGTGAAATCTCAAGATCACTCTCTATGAGCAATTCCCTCTCGACTGTGTAATTTGAATTGCATCCAACCAAACACCTCCACTTCGCCGAGTAAAGCGCAAACGAGCTACAAATGATCGCGAAAATGAAAGTTTCTCACATGTGAGGAACTGAATTTCAAGAATTGTTTCACACACCATTGTAAAAATTGACCGCGTGTCTCACAAATGGTGATAAATTGTTCTTATTCTCGTCATGAAACCATCCAGTTTTTGCCCATTTAGCCGCGAACTCAGTCACTCTGTCTCGCTCTTTGTGGCTTCGGAGTGAAATTTTCGGAGCTGCAACAATGGCACGCGATCATCCAAGGTGATCACAGACAATTATGTGGCATTAGACGAGAGCGCACATTTATCTCGGGCAGAGAGACAGATTTTTCCCTCCATAAATTCTCAAGTCTGAATACCCTCACATCGTCGACTCTGCGGTATGAAATTGCGATCACGATCAGTGTGAGATCACTGCAGGGGAAAATTGACGGTGAATTGACTTCCATGAGAAAGAAATTTGCATAAATCTGCATTAATATGACTTTGACGGTTAACAGAAGTTTTGCATCGCTTTTATATCTCATTCGAGATCAATTTATGCAAATTTTGCTCACTCACATTTTGATCACCAGACAATCAAGGTAAATTCACTACAATTTCACCTCAAATTGCATTGAAAATCGCCGACCCTTTCTAATCTCAATATATTAACCCAATATTAGGATCAATTTCCACCAATTTTTCTTGCCCAACGCCTTCAATCTGGCTTAATTAATAATTTTCCGGATATCATAGTTGTAATTCTTCGATTCCGCATTTCGCTCTCACCCTTCTATCAACATCAGTGAGTAGCTTAAGACAAGATGCCCTATTAAAGTCATTACAACTTTCTTGTAGAGCAGATGAAATGCGGCGGGAAATCCACTCAAAAGTGTATCAATATCAATTTGTTGATATTTCAACGAGAGATTGCTTGATACATCAATCATAAGACGTTTTTTGGACGGCACAGAAAAAAAACACGCATCAAGAAAATAAGAAATTCAATTTCCCCGCGCCAGTGAAAATGCGCGCAGAGACGCGATGAATAAAAATATTTGATTAATGATAAATTACATGTCATGGACGTTTCGTGGACAGTCATTAGCAAAAAGAATTAATTACCAGGTGCTGTGCTGAGCACGATTGGGCGCCATGGCAGAAATGAAGACAATCAGAAAAATTTCATTTTCTGCACCACAATTCAGAGAATGCGGATGGAGAGTGAAAGAGTCATTTAGCATAAGACATTAAAAGCGTTTTGTGAAGTGATATAAAAAAGGGCGTAATTAATTTAATGAGTTAATATGAAGTAAAAAAGATAAAATTTGCAATATTTTGAGTATTTTCTTGATGAAATCGAATTCATCATTTTATGGCAAAAATTTCCGTGTGGCTTTACTGTTTTTTTATCACATCAAAAGAATTTCACTTTTACACATATTTTATTACCCAAACCTCTTAAAGTGCTTCACATTGAGAACCGATAATCACAATCGGATGAATTGCTAATGCAGCCCACATAGTTTCATAGAGAGTCTTCGCGCATTGTCGCTCTGTGAGTGCTCCACTATTTTCTCCATTTGAACAAGGCGAGGTGTGCTTCCTGTTTTCAGTTTTTCCAAGCGCTGCTACTTTTTCTAATTGATGTGTTTGGACACAAAACATCGCGGGCTCTTGTAGAATTGATCAAACAATCAACAGTGGATTTGTTTGGTTGAGTGATCGCTCAAAACACACACAAAATGCTTAATTTCTAAATCAAACACTTCAATCGCGAGCCTTTCATTTCTTCAGCATCCTCCGGCCTTTCTGTGTCACTAATGCATAATGTGAAATGCTGTGTGCACAAGATCACGCTGCCGTGACCCATTTATTGGCCCTCTCGCGTGATATCAGGTCGCGCAGGTAATTAATAATGCAGCCGATGACTTTCTTCTCTTCACGCGCTGCGAACTGCCAAACAGACAAGAAGAAGTTATTCAAAGGAATTCCCTTCATCAATGTCAAGTCAAACGAGTTTCATTTTCATGCGCAACGCTTTTTGCTAAAAATTTTTCAACATTTATTCAACCATCGGCAAATCGCGTTTATTTTACACACGAGCAGAGGAAAGAGAGAATCTCTTTTTTCATGATTTTCATACTCGATGGCGAGATAAGAGAAAAATCGTCAACCGGTTTTCCAGAGATTATACATTTCTTAGGCCTCAGACTTCTCACTTCTCTGGCACACTCATCGTTAAATGATGACTGAGTGGTCAATAAATAATTTGTTGCAATTATAAAATTTTTATTTAAAGTGCCATCGCCAGGGCTCGAGTTGTGATTTCGATGCGTCCCACCGTGATTTCCATTTCTATACGCCCAAAGCGGAAAGTTTACTCTTACTGACCCAATTCGCTTGGCCGTTTGTATGTGTACTCGCGAAGAACAACCAGCAATTACTCTTTTTTATGTAGCGCTACCGAAGAGCGGTACTCGATGGAGTTAAAAATCGCGGCACACCTTCCGCGATCGCGAAGGAAATTTCCGAAGATCGACCTTGAGCTGAGGCGAAATGGTTGTTGAGTCACTTCGCGCAGGAGAATGGTTTAGAAATTGATTGCACTCCCTTTGATGAGGTGCCGCGCGTGACGTTTCATCACTGTTCTTCAATCATCATCACATCCAAAGTGAAACGCATCTCGTGATCACGTGTGATCGTTAGGGGAAATTTTCGCACCGCGGGGCATAAAAGTGATGTTCTTCCTCAATTCCACAAAAAAGGCCACATACGCATGTGTATTGTCCGAAAAATTGCGCAATCTCGTGCGGAATTGAAGTGATTGAGCGCTGGCGACAAGTATTTATCGGCGCGATCGCTGGAATGTGATCTTGTGCAGGCGCGAGGTGTAAGAAAATCGAAAGTCTCGTGTGCATTTGATGCCTTGGCGATATTTTTATGTAATTTACATTTAACCATCTGTGGCGTCAATTAGCAGGCAATTCGTGGGGCACCGAAAATCTGGCGCTTTTTTTTCCTTATGCATACTTCTTTTTGTGTGTATTATTATAAATGGCCCTCTTGCATGAGGATCGTTAAAATTCCACACGCGGAAGTGGTGAAATTTCTTGCGGAGGCGAGAGAGACGCTCTCAGGGCATTTTCACGTGCTCACATTACTGCCAGGCATTAATCAAAGGGCTGTGAATAAGAGGCATGATCAGTCATTTGTTTTCATCTCAAATCACGACACTCGAGACGTGAGATTCAAAAGTGAAAATGCAAAAATTACCTGCAATTGTCACAGTCCTGCTTCGGATTTCCACCAGCTTTCGCTCTCTGTTGCCGTGCAATTTTGCCAATGTCCAAATGAACAAAGACACTTGAGTAATTGATCAGTAATTCGAGCATTTGCAGAAGAAAACTGGGATGAAGATCGCCTCAAAATTCTGTACATTCCACTCATTGCTCCTGTCGTCCACTGTTCTTCACTTCCTCCAAACGCAGTCAAGACTTGAGAGACTCTCACGAGTTGTGGAATAAATTATTTACACATTTACTGTTCGCCTAATTCGAATGACTGTCCAAAAATTCTTCACAACAATGTCAAGGAATGTAATTGAGCCACGAGCAGAGAGAGAGCGCAGAGTTGTTAAGGAAAAAATCGACATTTAACTTCCCCTCAATTTAAATCAATCTCTTGCAAGTTGAAATAAATTCCCAAGAGACTGCAACTCATGCCATTTATTTTACTCGTCAGACTGTCAATTTTAATCATTTGGTACACACTCTTTCACTGTGCCGGAAAATTGTAATTTGAGATGATCAAGTGCCATTTGAATTGCTAATGTCGCCTAACGTTTTGTCTCTCTTCTCTTTCTCTTTTAGGGACTCCCATCGTGTCCCATCAATCTCAGTGTGATCACTTCACGCCTGCCGGACATCACTTGCTGGACAACCGCCGACCAGGCCGGCAGCGCGTCCGGCAATCTAACTGCCCTACACAGATTCTACAAGGCGAATCGCAAAATGCCAGCATTTCGGGGCCGCCGCGGATTGTGTGGATGTCTTCAGGTGAGTGCCATGATCTTCCCATATTTGCCTGGCATTTCGCACTCCCCGCGAACTGTGAAATTTCATGCACCTCTATTCCGAGGAGAGGCAAAAGAGCGAGTGCGAGAGAAGAAGGTCAAATGGCAATACTTTGTGTGCACGATCGACAATCTTCCCTCGAAATGCAAGTAGCACGATGAAAAGGTCTCTCTCTCTCGTAACATAAATAGCTGGAGAGAAGAGATTTGAGGCGCGCATTGAATTCTGCAAGAATTTCACTCCGTTTCGGTGCTCTCCCAATAAATTGTCCATTGTGGCGTATCAGTGAGAAGCATCGCATTTGCATTTGGACGCGATGGCAAAACTGGGGAGTTGGATGGCGCCATATGATATACTCCCAATATGAGTCTATAATGTGTTGGGAGAGAGACTCCAATCGACGCATCGGATCTCCCTCGCCGAGAGTTTTCCTCTAATATGAATTTATGGCCTCCAGTCAATATATCCACACACTGGAGAAACATGCGGCATAAAATGTATTATGATGGAAAATAACGGATGGAATGCGCGCTTTCATTTTCATTGCAAGACACTGTTCGCCCCCGTTGTGATTCTCAACATCTCCGCGCTCGCGCATGCATTTCGCCAGTGAGAGGACGAAAAAGATCAAGAGATACGTGCCTTCATTCGATGAGATCATTACAATCACTAATGCCAATGGTAAATCTTGTAAATCCACGCCTGATCACCATCATTTCCAAGAGACCCGCGAGTGTCTAACAGCTGAAACCTACTTTGAAAGTCTCTTGCGATGCTCACAGAACTGGATATGTCATTGCAGTCTCTTGCGGAGAAATGGATTTCTAAAGATCTAATCAACACTTCCATAGATCACTTTCAATGGTCAACCAGTGCATTTTTCACTGCCACAGACAAGAAGATCTCTTTTTTATTACCTTGCGCTCTGGCAGTTCAAAACATTCGTTAGCATTATTACGAAAGACATGCGCATTTTTCATAACTTGCCAAATATATTTTTCTGCAGTTGCCGAGTCCAGAATAATAAATATGCTTCTGAGGATTTTGCAAGCTTGTCTCCTGCCACGCTTGATCTTTAAAAATATTAATTTGCATTCTTGAAGGTGCCTCTCTTTGCGGGATCCTAATAAATCCCATTCAACTGGCGAGAGATCGATCTCGCGCGCTTTTATTGTGAGGTTTCTCGAGAGTGAGTGGAATTTTTCTGTGGGGCTTTTTTGTCGATCGACAAAACATTGTGTTGTTGGTACATTGGAATTCCGATCATTTGATCACCCGGGTTGCAAGTCTAAAGACCAGTGAAAGTGATAACAAGTCCAATTATAGCGTTACTGCCTCTGAATTTTTCTTACTTGCGAGCATTAATCGAAGCTCATAATTCACCCAAATTTCCTGTGACGAATTCACGGAACGTTTCGGTGATCTTTGTGTTGGAGATCAGCGTCAATTCTTAGAAGATTACCTGAGAACAAAATCAAAATTTGCACAATCCTAAGTAGAATTAGCATGACAGCCAATAAAATTGAGATTAGCATAAATTTTCCTAGAACCCCCTCTGAAAGATTGCTCTATTTTGGAAACAGGATGACGAACCTCCGGAGATCTGCGTGGTCGAGGGTGCTTTCACGCTCCAGACAATCACGCCCACGCAACCAATGCCGGCGATCGACGAGCTGGACGCAAAATTCGCCGAACTCGTCGAGGAACTTGATCTCACGGCGCCCAACAAGGCGGCGATGCTGAGTCTTCCGGCGCAGAAGAAGTGGCAGATCTACTGCTCGCGGAAAAGCCACCAAGATGAGGGCGCTGCGGTGTCTTCAGTGCCGCCCACGCCAGATCACTACATCGATCGTCTGCGGGACATGTCCACGCAGCTCATGGCGCAACCGGAAGATTCTCCGAGCCACGAATACAGCTTCAAGATCGACACGCACACGGCTCAGTTGGATGCCCTCAAGACAGCACTCCGCACTTCCGCCCACAGCTTCGTCCTGCGCTTTGTGGAGCTCAACGGGCTCGTGGTTCTGCTGGATCTGCTGCAGAAGCTGGACTGGCGTGTGGCGAACAGTAGTCTGCACACCAGCCTCATCGGCTGCATCAAGGCGCTGATGAACAACTCCACGGGCAGAGCGCACGTGATGGCACATCCCACCAGCATTGATACCATCGCGCGATCTCTGGCGGCGGACAACGTGAAGACGAAGGTGGCCGCTCTGGAGATCCTGGGAGCAGTGTGTCTGGTTCCTGGCGGTCACAAGAAGGTTCTTAGCGCCATGCACAACTTCCAGAAGTTCGCAGCCGAGCGCACTCGTTTCCAGAGCATCATCAACGATCTGGACCGCTCCACTGGCGCCTACAGAGACGATGTGAACCTCAAGACGGCCATCATGTCCTTCATCAACGCCGTTCTCAACTACGGTCCCGGTCAGGAGAATCTGGAGTTCAGACTACACTTGCGCTATGAATTCCTAATGCTCGGCATTCAACCGGTGATTGAGAAGCTGCGGAAGCACGAGAATGAGACGCTGGATCGCCACTTGGACTTCTTCGAAATGGTACGCACGGAGGACGAGAAGGAGTTATCCAGGAAGTTTAACCACGAGCATGTGGACACTAAGAGTGCCACTGCTATGTTCGAAGCCATCCGTAGGAAGATGAGCCACTCATCTGCATATCCCCACCTTATGTCGCTCCTGCAACACATGCTACTGCTTCCATGTGAGTAAAGATCGCCTATCAATTGAAATCATATCCTCAATCTCTCTCTGTATTCCAGTCACCAGCGCCAACAATCAGCACTGGCTCATGTTCGATCGCGTGGTGCAGCAAATCATCCTTCAGACGGATGTTCGTCCGCCCAGTGACATCGATCCTGACCAGAGCAGCACACCAAAACCTCAGGATCCCGACGCAGCTCCTCTCTCGATCGACGTGAAGAAGATCGTCAAGCTGCTGGTGAAGGAAGAAGAACTCACAGCGGCCAGGAACCGCGCCGAGGAGCTCGAGAAGGAGAATCTCGATGCTCAGGCCAAGCTGGCCAAGAAGGAGCAGGAGTTGGACCTTCAGACTCAGGAGAAGGAGGATCTCGAGACGAGTCTGGCGCGCATGCGAGAACGCCTTGAAAAGGAGAGCGCTAATCACTCGCAGGCCGTACAGAGAGCCCTCAATGCTGAGATGCGAGTGGAGGATCTGCAGCATCGCTACATGCAGGAGCAGCAGGAGCGCGTTCGTCTTGAGCGTCTAGTCACGGAGGGCAGCATCCCAGATGATCAGAAGGTGGCCGGCTTGCATCGCTGCAACGGACAGGCTTCACCCACATCCAGTCTCAAACCAGCCGCCGCACCTCCACCACCGCCGCCTCTACTGCCCATGCCGCCGCCTCCGCCACCAGGAGCTCCTCCCCCACCGATGCCCACATCCATCTGTCCCGCGCCGGCGGCAGCGAAGTTCGAGGTGTCGAAGAAGAATGTACCGCAGCCCGCGAATCCACTCAAGAGCTTCAACTGGTCAAAACTGCCGGACGCCAAAGTCAACGGCACAATCTGGAACGAGCTTGATGAATCCAAGTGGTACAGCACGATGGGTCTGGAGGATATTGACAAGCTCTTCTCGGCATATCAAAAGAACGGAGTAACCGTGAGTAGCTGAATCCCAGCTTTTGAAAGTATGTTTTCTAGACTAATTTGCATGTCTTCTTCCGGCAGAATGACGGCTCTATTGAGGATCTCCGCTTGATTGGGAAGAACAGAACGAAGATTTTGTCAGTTATCGATGGACGACGAGCTCAGAACTGCACAATTCTACTCAGCAAACTCAAGATGACTGACGAGGAGATCAGCAAGGCAATCTTGTCTATGGACTCGAGCGAACAACTGCCTATTGACATGGTTGAGCAACTTCTGAAGTTCACTCCATCGGCTGAGGAGAGAGCGCTTCTGGATGAGCACACAGAGGACATAGAATCCCTGGCCAGGGCTGACAGATTCCTCTTCGAGATCTCAAAGTAAGGAATCACGGAAAATTCTTTTGACAGTCACATATACAGCACTTTTCTCTTCCTCAGAATTCCTCACTATGAGCAGCGCTTAAGGAGTTTGCACTACAAGAAACGCTTCCACGTGACCGTCAACGAAGTCTCTCCTCGTCTCACCAGCGTCATGGAAGCCTCTCGTGAGGTCGCTCGCTCGAGGCGTCTTCGAAAGCTCTTGGAGATCGTCCTGGCCCTGGGCAATTACATGAACAGAGGCGCTCGCGGGAACGCATCAGGATTCCGGCTGGCCTCTCTCAATCGCTTGGCAGACACAAAGTCCAGCTCCGTTAAGGGTACAACGCTGCTGCATTATCTTGTGCAGATCGTGGAGAAGAAGTTCAAGGACTTGCTGAAGCTGGACGAGGATCTGCCACATATTCGAGAGGCGAGCAAGGTGTCTCTCGCCGAGATGGATAAGGACATATCGATGCTGAGGAATGGCCTGGCTGAGGTCACGCGGGAGATCGAGTTCCATCGCGGAGCAGGAGCGCCTCAGAGCGGAGATCGATTCCTGCCGGTAATGTGTGAGTTCCATGCTCAAGCGACAGTGCGATTGGCAGAACTGGAGGATAAGTTCCAGGACATGAAAACCAGGTGAGTCAATTTCCCTGTAAAACTGTTTCTTAGACTCAAATCTCTGTATTTCGATAGGTTTGATCGCGCTGTTCGCTTGTTCGGCGAGGATGGAGCTGTCGTGCAGCCCGATGAATTCTTCGGCATCTTCGACACCTTCCTGATGGCATTCACAGAGGCTCGTCAGGACAATGAGAACTTCAGGCGTCGCCAAGAAGAGGAAGAGAAGCGCGCCAAGCAGGAAGCTGAGGTGATATTAACAACCATCAGACCAAAGATGTTTAGCTCAAAAATTCTTATTCTTCCAGTTGAAGAAACGCACAATCGAGCGCAAGTCCAAGGAGGGTGGCATCCTGAGTTCCATGGCGAAGAACCTGGGGTTGAAATCTTCTTCGAACAGCCCGTCGAAGAACGCCACGTCGGCGGACAGCAAGGGTGAGTTCGACGACCTGATCTCAGCGCTGCGCACGGGAGACGTCTTTGGCGAGGACATGGCCAAGTTCAAGCGCTCTCGGAAGACGCGCGTGCCCACCCCGGCGGCGCCCACCAACGGCAACGGCACGTCGCCGCCGGTGCGGAACAGTTACCATCGCGAGGACAGCCGCGAGAGGAGCGGCACGGCGCACGGACGGCGGCAGTAAACGCCAGACCCCACTAGTTAATCGTGAATGTGTTATTGTAGTGGTTTCCCGGAAGGAGTAAAGCTTCGCTCAATTTTTCCACCCCGATCCCGTTTTCGGTGCTACTTCTTTGCGGTACATTCAGAGCAGATTGACTCCAATTTGCGAGCATGATTTGTAGGGATATTTGCGATAATGCAGATGATAATAATTTATGATTTTAGCGTGTAGTCGTATAGAAGTTCTCCTTTTGTACTCTGTAATTATTGACTATAATGTAACCAACAATGAAGCTTCTAAAAAACACTGTGCAGACAAGACTGGTCCATCAAATGCCAACGAGAAATTTTAATACTTTCTTTTTGTAACTTGTGAGGATTTTTTCTCTATATTCTGTGTAATCTTAATTGTCTTGTTATAACTTCTCCTTTCAAAACCATTTTTTGTATATAATTGTATAAAAAAAAGATAATTCTCAATTTTGTGTCGTCTCAACTCACTTTAGAGTTCTACAAATTTTTATAATGCATTTTGACACAGTATTTTGCATGTGAAGTAAATGAAGAGTGGAACAAATATTTAGTAATTGATGAAGAAAAAGCAGGAAAAATCCCCCGAGAATTTGTGATTTTCATTTTGTGTGTTGTCGAGCGCAAGAAGCATTATCGCGTTGATGATGTTCACGATTATTCTGTAGATTGAAGAATATCATTCATTTCTGTTAATGTATACCTTGAATCAATTTTACTTAATAAAAATTAATTGAATTCAATTCAGCCTTGTCTTTCTGCTTCCACTTTTGCCTACATCTCGGCGAATGCTCTTAAGAGACATCTTAAGATTAAAAGACACTTTCACTTTGTTGAATAATTTCAATATATTTTAATTCGTTACTTTTCCCTTTTCTCTCATCTTTTCTATATTCTCCAACGAAAGTTATAATTTTTGTGATAGCCTAATTGATCGTGAATCCCTTTTGTGAATCACCGGCGCTTCTTTTGAAGAAACAGGACAACGATTTACGGGCAAGTTGCAAGGAAACTTAAGGTGAATCTCTACAATTATAATGCACTTAAAAACTACAGAGGAAACTATATAAGTAATGAAACAGGTGAAATAGAGAGGAAATCCCTTCAATTCTGTGACCAAAAACAGCAATTATTGTATACAATTATACAGGCAAATGATTTTTAATCTAAAATTGACAATTTCTTTCGTGATTCTTCTTCATAATAAGGAAACTTCTTGTCACAGAATCGCTTGGATTAGACTTCTCGATCAAGTCACTATTATAAGTCTATTTTTGCCTCATCTCCAAATCTGCTTATTATGAGATGAACATCTCTTCGTCTTGTTTTGTACTAAAGTTTTTTTTTTTAAAGAACTCCAGAAATAGATGAAAGAAGACTGAAGAAAAGATGTGATATTGTGTGAAAATCGGACTCTAAAAATATCAATTTGATACAATTTTAAAGGTGACTCTAGCTGCTTTTCACGTCGCCTTTTCTCAGATCTGCATCATTTCCTTTCTCTCTCTCTCTCTCTCTGTCCCTCTTCAGACAGACAACTTCCGCTTGTGCTCCACTCTGCCCTCAGCGGCTGTCGCTACGCCGGCCGTGGTCACCATCGCGGGCAGCAGTTGGACAGCAGAGAGCTCTTTCAGTGACGTGTTGACGGCGGGAGGCGGCGGCGCCTTCTGCAGCTGCTTGATGGGACTCGGAGAGACTTTGCGCGGTGTCGCCGGGAAGCTGCCTCCCGGCGCGTACGTCATGCCACTGCACTCCCTAATCATCATCAGGTAGTCCAGCTTGTCCACCGTGGCGTTGAGTTCGCTCTCCCACACGTCCTGCTCCTGCTGCCCATCGCCGCCCTCCACAGGACGAATCGCCAGCACCTTCACGCGCTGTCGCAGCTCCTCCAGATCCAGATCCGTGTCATCCACATCGCTCTCATCTCCCTTCTCGCTCACCGCCGAGCTCGTGGCCACGGAAGTGCCCGCCGATTGGATGGCGCAGCGATCCAACTCGGACGCATAGTCAGGAAGCGCAAGGACAGGCGAATTCAGCACGATGCCCGTGGAAGAGCACTTCGACTGCGTCAGCTCAGTCACGCTCAGTTCCGCGCCAACGCCGGGCTCTCGCGGCCCCGGCGGCGCGGCACAACTCAAGTCACCGCGCTGTTTGTGAATCTCTTCACTGATCGTCTCCAGATTCCGCAGCGCATTCGAATACGAGGATTTTGCCACCTGCACCAGCGACTGAAGCTCCTGAATGCGTCCCTTCTGCGTCTCCAGCTGATCCTGGCAGATCTGCTTCTCCTCAAAGTATGGTCGCGACTTGTGAATGTTCCTCTTCAGACGATCCTCCAATTGCTGCACTTTCAGTTCAGCCGCATTGAAGATGATCGCCTTGCGCTGATGCTCAGCATTGCTCTCCGCCTTTTGATTATCCGCATCCATAACCTGAGAAAGAATTCACAGAGAAACTCATTTAATTTCTCAATCACATTTGCACAAAACTATTGAGCTTTCCATAAGAGAAACCAATTGAAAGTCAAAGTTAAAACATTTCAGAAAGCAAAAGTGCAAAAATCACACTCTCGATTGAATTACAAATCTATCTTTCTCTCTCTCTCACTAAATACTCACCTTGATGGTGGCATGATTCAGCATCTCTTGCCATGCATTGTCAAATTGCCATTCATGCGAATTGCTCATGAATCTCTGCTCCGCCAGCGCAACCGTTTCCTTCGCCGCTGCATGGATTTCTGTGCAAAAAAGAGAGCAATTGAGAGATTACACGTTATCAGAATTGCGACATGCACTTTACCATTGGCGCGTTGAAACTTAACAGCCGCTTTCTGACACTCAATCTGCGCAATGCGCGCCTTCTCCACTGCCTCATAATACGGACGGGCTTTCTCAATGCATCCGCCCAGCTTCTTGGACAGCAGCTTCAGACGCCTGGTGGACTCATTGAGTAAAATGCGAAATGTCGTGTTTGCTTCCTGCAAAAAAAGCCAATTATAACGTGTCTGTGAATTGAATCCTTCAACTCTTGCATCAATGCCACTGATAACAACCGGGAAATCAATCGAACGTCAACCCACGCACTTTATCACACCCTCAGTTGCTGCTTCAGTTATCTAATCTCAGAAATTTGACCATGTTCGGCCTTCATCACCTGATTACGCATGACAATGGAATTTTTCTCTCCAAAGTGCACAGGAAGTTTTCCCAATCTCTCTCTCGCTCTGTTGTTTTTTACCTCTCAATTGTCTCATTATCTCACCAACAACTTCCACTCATCCTTCCACATTCTCAAGTCATAAAGCAACAAAACCATCGTGGGATGATTGTTTCCCGCCCAGAGCAAAAAGTTCACACAGGAAAGCATAAAAATTTCACTTGCCTCCAACTCAATCTCCAATTTGTTGATTTCATCTGTGGCCGTGTTGAGATTTTCCAATTCAATCTGCAAAGAAACCGAGACAAAAGGGAAAGATTAACACTGGAAAGTGCCCATTATACTCTCATTTCATTTCATGACTGCGTCGATTCTATACAAACGCAAAATCCCATAAATCCCCGTGTGAAATCATCACCCAAACAGGGCCACATACAATCTTCCTTCCACGCCACATTATCAGCTGAAAGCAAAGCATTCTTAAGCGTGATCACATGAAGTGATTCTATATAGCAACAGGCATACATTTTCTCTCTCTTTCTCTTTACTAATTTACACCCATTTGCCAAAGTGTTAGCACTTATTCAATCAACCAACATCTCGAGTACGTCACAAACAAGTCACGAACTGTGCGTTTTTCTCAAAGCATTTTGACATTTTTCCAGCGTGGAGAAATCACTTAAATTGCTCTTTGATATTTCAAAATAATGTTGTAGTAAATATCACATTCTTCTACGCATTGCAAATCATGATTAATGTCACCCTTTTTGTGATTGATCTCTGGGAATTTTTTCCGAGTCTTACTCTATCAATAATAATATTTACCTATCAGGATTTTCCATGCGCTGTACCCTCAATAATTCTTATCTACTTTGGTAAACTTTTGGATGCCATGAGTCACCCTTATCGAATCAAATGTGCCAAAATCAAAATTAGAAAACGCGACTGACGACTATCAATTTTGTATCCTGAATTCGCAAGACTCTGGCACTGCTTAAATCATAACACAAGCTTTAGACATCTGCTTTTTAATCTCAATTGGATTAAATTGCGGTCACAGTACAATTCATTTACAATTGAATGCATGATTTTATTGAATTACAAAATGTGCATCACGAGCCATAGCATAGATTAAAGTTAAAGTCTCGTACGTAATGCAGACTTATCCAATTGTCTTGATTAAATCTTGCGTCCGCTGTTAGTCAACGAACAAACCAAGCGACCAATCAACTTCAATCAAACACGCCAAAGCTATTATTGCAAAACCGCAAAAGATAAATGTTTTCTCATTAAGATAGCGCACATCTCATGAGATCGTCTCTATCTAATATTTGTGTCTGTTTATAACTTGGTTTACGATAAACATCCTGGGAAATGCTCGACTGTCGAGAACACGCTGATCGGCAGAACATTTGACTGGGAATTGAATTAGAACTTTAACAGCCACACAGTTCAAGTGCAGAGCATTTCCTCACAAGCAAGAACTCTCTAAGCAAGCGCTGGCCCTGATCGTTAAATCGTGAGGTCATGACTCTTCCGTCTCCCTCGTGCACACTTATTCGCGCTCTCGCGCTCTCGCTCGCTCTCACGCAGTGTGCCTACATTTCCTTAGAGACGAAATGAAAACGACACGACAGTAAGTTCAATTCTCAGGCATATCGAAAATAAAACATTTCCGAGGGAAATTTCTTCATGTCACGAATTGAAAGTGTTGTGTGTTTCGCCCTCATAAAACGTGCGGAATTCTTCGAATCCAAATGAAGCTTTCTGCATGAATTTCAACAATGTGAGGGTAGAAGAAAAGTTCTTACACACTCCACGGATGCATGTCCTCAATTAATTGGACTGTGTCTACAAACCAGGGAACGATAGAACTTCTTTTTTTCAGGGTGGAATGAGAGAAGTCTGTTTTGACGTCAAGAGAGACGAACTATTTTTGGCACCACAATAAGGATAATGACGTAATCCTTTCTGTGTTCGCCTTCCATTCGCGCTCCAGCAAATTCTATCACGTAATGAGTCAACTCATAAATTTGCTATTCGCTATGAATTATTAATAAGGTGGAATTTGTAGAAAAAAAAATGTGTGTGAATATAAAAAGCATTTTGATTGTTTACAAATTCGCGCCACTGTGAATTGGTGAAAAAGTGCCTCGCTAAGTGGTGTCAAATGCATATTTTCTGCATATTTATCGGCCCGCCGAGGGGCGCTGTCTTGCGAAAGGCCCTTTGTGTGCCCCATTTGTCTGGTTTGTGGGAGAATTGAGCAATAAATTTTCTCTTTATCAAAGCATTACTCTCGGGAATGTCAGTGTTTTGCATAGCTGAGCTGCGAGTGGGGGAATTTGTCATCCGTGACGATGAATGGGGCGCAGAAAGCCAACGTGAAATTATTTCATGGGCAGCAATAGACATCAGTGTTGCCGATTCTAGCGAGCATACCTGTATCCGGGGATCTAAATCAGCATTTTTATCCATTTTGTCGGAGGAATCTTCACTCTCAGCAGCTCTTCAAACTCCAACTCATCCCTGGAGGGCATCCACACTTTTCCCCCTCAAATACACCACTCTGCACTGCCGAAATGTCCAATCTGGCACTAGCACTTCATCTAATCACCTCCACTGATGACTTTTCACAAGTTCTTTCGCAGCCGATCGCGCTTCGAATGGGGAAATTTGGCGAAAACCTACGCGACACTTTTTCTCTCCGTCCACCGAGCAAAAACGCAAATGGCTGACAGCGCCCTCAATTTTAGCACTGGAAGCGCTGGAAGTGCGCGCAGCGCCATCACCGTCAATGCGACGCAGTCATCGAACGAACTTTTAGTACAGTCATCTGGAAATTTGCATTTCTCCGTGAAAAGTGTGTGAAAATGGTCTTTTCACGCCTCCTCCGGCCAGTGGTGATGGCTGCACGACCGCTCACGCTGGCACGCTCCAAGACTCACTTCCGGAGCGGCGCCCTAAAGCCTCTACCCGAAAGTGTTCCCTTTGGCCTCGTCGGAATCTTCTGCACTGTGATACCGGGTGAGTAATCCTCTTCCCAACGCTGCTCTGGGCAGTCGTGTGACCGTCCTCGAATCTCCACAGGACTCCTGGTTGGAGCTGCCATCAGCAAAAATGTGGCCAACTTCTTGGAAGAGAACGAACTCTTCGTTCCGGACGAAGAAGAGGACGATTAGAGATTCTTTAGCACGCAAGACATTTTTCCATCTATAAATAAATCTTTGTTAACGCCAAAAGTTATTTATTGCTATTTATTGTGTAAATTTTAAATAATCTGTGCGAACGGGCTTTCGTTGCTCCTTTGAAATAACACTTAAAAGTCCCTTAATACTTTGACAAATTGTTAAATATTAGCCAAAATTGCACATGTTAGTTCAATAAAGTAATTCGAAACATAAATTATGCGCGCTGCTCTATTCCGGGGGTTTCTTGTGCTCTCCCCAGCCGTGGAAGCACTTGGTGAATCTCTTGGACTCCTTGTTCTTGAGCGTGAGGAAGAGTTTCCGCGGCCTGTCCGGTTGCTTGATTCGCATGTGCTGGATGTAAACCTGTTTTCCCAGGGAAGAAACGGTCAGTTAAAGATTGCATGGAGACAAAATAGGGCTTTCTCACCTGTGCAGACTTGTAGGCCAGCTTGATCTCCACTTCACTGCATCTGGCACCCAGCCAGAGGAAGACTTGCTCTCCATTGTCCAGAATCATGATGTCATCGTCTGCCAAGTCGTCCTGGCAGAAGTCCGAACACTTCTCAGCCACTGTGAAATATCCTTTCTCGTTGGAGCATCTGAAGAGGCGCGTGTATTCCATGAAAGTAGCGTCGGAATCGTAGGGCTTCCTGCCGCCCAGAGCGACCCAGAAGAAGTTCTCCGGCTCCTCGCCCTCGTTCAGCACTTGCAGGCTCACCCAGGGATTATTGAAGATGCTCTCCGCAATGTCCTGGATCAGCTTAGCCTCCTCGGCGGCGGCCTTAGCGCCAATCCAGGCATAGACAATCCCACTCTCAGACTCATCTTCCGTCTCAAATGGCACGTACAGGATGTAACTGCAAGATCAAGTGAATTCCAAACATTAGAATCAACTCCAAATTGCGCAGGACAATCAACTCACCAGAATGCAGAGTTCAGGAAGCACGCGTCCGGCTTGATCTGGATGAGGCGCGTGCAGAGAGCGCTGCCGTTCGAACGCAGATGATAAAATCTCACCATCGCCTTTCCGTCCGGCGTCAATTGCTTCTGCTTCCGCCGCCCGTGATGGATGATGAATTTCCTCTTGAAGTGCGCCATGAACTTCAAGTTCTCTTGCTGCTGGTGGATTCGCACCACTTCCAGCTCTTCGCCGAACATTGCCTTGAACTTCTTCTGCAGCGTGAACGTGAAAGTCAGCCAGCCCATGTTGCCGGCATTTCTGCCCTGCCAGAAGTACACCACGCACTGAATCTCATCCTCGGGTGGCGGCGCATTCTCCGCCGTGCCGTCTTCATCCTCCTCACCGGGAACGCAGTAGCGGCAGAGGAAGACGTAGCACTCCTCCGTGTAGAAGTGACCGAGTTCCTCCTCGGGCAGCCGCACGAACTTCTTGTTCTCCAGCACGAACGACTCCATGGCCTCCAGATCGTAGTTCCAGTCCTCCTCCAGCTGCGTGGCCTCCGTGAGAGTCATCGCGGCCTGACGCGGCATGAACAGAGCCGCCAGATCCGCCTTTGTGTCCTGCTGCTTCGCCCACTTCGTCAGATCCGCCCCAGTCTTGGCCACTGACTGAGCAGTTCTCGTGAAATCCACCGCAATAATCTCATCCCAGCCCACGAACTTCGACTTGAAGACCTGCGTCTCCGTGCCCTCCTGCACTCTCGTCACCAGAGCATGTTCCGGCCGGGTGATCATGCTGAACAGCTCCTGGGACAGCTTTATCGCCGCCGCTCGCACGAGTCGCGTAGACTTCTTGCCGAACCACACAAATAAATCTCCGAAGCAGTCCAGAATGTACACATTCTTGCTTTGCAGCAGCGTGTGAACCATCTTCTGGTCCGGAATCTCCACTTGCGGCAGCTCCAAATATCCCATGCCCAGCTGCACTTGATACAATCGATGCAGAACCGGCGTGAAATTCTCCTCCACATGCTCCACAATCTTCTCCGCCGGTCTCACGCCATCCTCAAAACCCAGGACTTTCCAGAAGTCAGAATTCTCCTCACCCTGGAGCTCCACGAAGATCTCCGCCCTGTTCTTTCGCTCATTCTTGTTCACTTTCTCCGCCAAGAGGCGAGATTTTGATTTCAATGTGTTCTTGGACTTCCTCCCGTGCCAGATGAAGATCCTCAGTCCCGTGTCCAGCACGAAAACATACCTTGGATCCAATGAGGTGAAGCCAATGGCTACGGGCTCTAAGTGAATTGACGCTCCCGCCGCGTGAACTCTGTACATTCGCGGTATGTAAACGACGTCTTCAATCGTAAAGAAGCCCGTTGATGTCCTGCCACCTTCAATGTATGAAATGTCCGTGTCAAAGAGTCCCAGAAACTCCTCCGATTCATCCGCTTGCTCCTCGCGCACAGTCCGGCAGCGCGCTCCCAGATAATTCCTTAAGTTCACAGCGTGAATCGCGGCACACGCTCTCTTGTCCAACGGCGCGTGATTCCCAATCCAGAAATAGATCTCCCACGTCAACTGACCGACATCGTCCAGACACGTCTTCAGGACAATATAACAGTCGCCCTCGTAGAACTTCCCATGAGCGATTTCCTCGATTTTGTTGGGCAGGAAATTCTCAATCTCCCAAATCGTCAGACCAGGAATTTGTCCATCCTCATCCTCGAAAAATTCCGAGTAATCTAGCGGAGGCTTCTCCAAACTCTCATCCCATCGCTTCGGCTTCAGACTTTCCGTGCGCTCTTCCTCCCAATTCTTTGCGTTCTTCTCGTCTGCAATATCCTTCATGCCCTTCAACACCTTCGCCGAGTCGGCCTGACCCACTTCCGGACGCGCTCCGCGTCTCAGTCGTAGCTTCCTCGCAATGGGATCCTTGCTACTCGTGCCAGCTGTCTGCACAGCAGGCGGCACTGTAGCTCCGGCCAATCTCAGCTGGTGTTGCAGCGAGAAATCAATGTTGTAGAACTCAATTCCAGCGCCCTTCTGCATCTCCATCGGCTTCGGCGGCATTATTAAGTCCGGATTGTTCCTCAAATCCAACTGATCCAAGTCAGAACAGAGATAAATGGCATCTGGCAAGGTTATAAGCTTGTTGGAGCTGAGATTCAGCTTCTTCAGCGATCCACATCGACACAGTCCCTCAGGGATCATCTCCAGACGATTATTCGATGCCGAGAAGACCTCAAGACAACTCAGCTTTCCAATTCCCGACGGGATGCCGTCGAAATCCAGCTGATTGTCATTCAAATAAAGCCGCCGCAAGAGCGAGAGCTTGACTAGAGTCGCCGGAAGAGCGGTGAGTTGATTCCGGGAGAGATTGAAGGTCTCCAGCTTCGTCCAGCAATCAATGCTCGTTGACAATTCCGTGATTTCATTCTCGCTGAGGTTCAATCGCCGCAAATTGGGCAAATTGTAGAGGCAATCTGGGATGCGCGCCAGAGAATTCTGCGCCAAGTCAAGTTCCGCCAAATTGCCCAGAGAATCGAGAGATGTTGGGAAGTTCTGCAGATTTCTCTGTGTGTTCCTCATGTGGAGCACTTCCAGATTCTGCAGCGAGGGCAATTGGCGCAGTTGAAACACCTCCAGAGGATTATCGCTGAGGATGAGCGTCTGCAGATTGGCCAGACGTCTTGTTTGCGGCGGAAGGGTCTCCAAATTATTACTGGACAAGTCCAGGAAGAGTAAATCCGTCAAATGGATGAATAACGCAGTGGGAATGCTATCAATTCTGTGGATAGAAAAACCACGGTCAAAAACAATGACATCATCAAGCCTAAAATACTCACTGATTGTGACTCAAATTGAGGACGAGCAGGTTCTTCGCCTTCTCTAGTCCTTCAGGAATCTCTTTGAGTTTGTTGTGCGACAAATCCAGAGTCGTTAGTTCTTCTAGTTGAAACAATTCTGTTGGGATTCCGGAATTCTTTACTTTGTTGTGCCGCAGATTGAGAGAGCGCAGAGAATTCAGTTCTGTCAACTCCCCAAACAACTTCTCCAGGTCGTTGTTCTTCAGAGAAAGGTGCTCCTGTAAACAGAGATGCGGAATTCATCAAAATATCTTCACAGATTGAGCAGAATCTTCGAGAATCTCACCAGCTTTGCCAGCTTTCCCATCTCTTCCGCCACTTCTGATATGTTTGTCTTGTCCAACTTGAGCCACTGCACTCCGGTCATGAGCCGCACAGCGGCAGGGAATTTTCCGTCCTGGAAAAGATCAAAAGAAATTTCCAAAATAGAATTCCATCATCAAAATGACAGCCGATGGAATTTCATTCAATATCTCCTGTAAATCTAGTGGCACAGTAAAAATTACTTCGCCAGTCGATAGACAGGAACATATAGTTTTAAAATATTGTACAAAATTGCTGGAAAACACTCACGCTGAAATCATTTTTGGTGAAATCAACACCGCGAACGAACGGCAAAACTCCCGTGTTTGCCATTTTTACTTTTAGTACTCATCGAATGACAGCGACTCCAGCACCTCCAAGCGGCAAGAGCAGAACAATTGCTGCCAACTTCAGGCTACTGAGCCGACATATAAATTTGAGTGAAACTGAAGGGGTTTGTAAACAAAGAGATTTTTTGTGAATTTTCCCTAATCTTGTGAATTTTCCTTGCAGAATCTGTGCGACATGGAGAGCGCACACAAAGGACTGTACAAATCCACGGCGTGGAGACAAAAGACTGCCGAAGAGAAGCGAGAATTGTTCAGAAACACACGATCAAGGAAGCGGCAGACGCTTTTCCTTCAGAATCGCGACATCGACGAGAATCAAGAGATCACAGAGACTCCGGAGACTCTCCAGAAACCACGTCGCAACAGTGCGAAGAAGAAGACACCCTTCGCTGTGAAATTCGCCAGGTGGAAGAAGAATCGCGATGACGCCAAAACCAGAGCAAAGCGAGAGAAGAAGCCCCCATTCGTGCGGTCCGTACGTCCTGGGGCTCTGCCGCCGCTGAAGCCCATAGAGCGGAGAGCAAAGTTCAATCCGCCGGCCAAAGTGAAACCCCTGCAGTTCGCCAAGATCAGCAAAAACCCCCCGCAGATCGACACGAACTTCGATTTTCCCACCGGAGGCCCAATAACGCGTTCGCGCGCAAAGTACATTCAGTTTGTGTTCGAATGAAAACAATTTTCACAGCTACTGAGAATCTTTATTCATTCCTCATCCTCATCATTATCCTCGTCATCAGAGTTATTGTCAAGTGCCTTTGCAAGCATAAAACCGGCAGTGAAAATACCAGCAACAGCAGTAAAGCCAAGTAAAATTTTACCAATGCCAAAACCATCGGAGTCTTGAGGCGAGTGTTTCTGGGCAGAAGGCTTTGCGGTATTCATCGGGTTATAAGGGATCACAGTATTGCGAGGAATTCCTCCATTCCTGAATGCAGTCTCGCCTTGCTGATCATATTTCCTCCGCGTATCTTTGTCGCTTAACACGCGATAGGCAAAAGCGATCATCTTAAAGTGCTCCTCAGCTGCTGGGGAACTATTCCTGTCCGGATGGTATCTTCTGGCCAAGTCCATGTACGATAGCTTGATTTGGTCATTGTTTGCATCTCTGCTCACATTCAGAATCCTGTATAAGTCACCCATTTTCCGCTTTGTTTTGTCTAGCAATTGGAGAAGAAGATTTGAACAATCAAGTTAACACTGCACATAAGTAAGAAATAAATACATTTCAGTCTTCAATTTGCGTTCGCCTCTTGAGAACTAAAGACGATAAGAAAATTGAATGTTTATATATGCACTGGATTTGCTGATAAGGGGAATTTCACAACATTTATGAACCTTTGAGAATCGACAGGGTAGTAAAAAAACAGTGTTTCACTCTCAATGGTTGTTTAATTCTCTTTAATTATAAGTATCATTGTCTAAATGTAATCTTTTATCCGAAAAAAAAACACAAAAATAAATGCCCACAGAAAATTGTGAACGTAAAGGGAAACAAACACAAATTAGCTAAGAATCTTGCGAATATGAATGATTAATTGGTTTCTGCTTTCAGTTTCTGGTTAGCTCGCTCATCTATGGCAAAATCATTCATCTTAAATTCACACTAATTCATTCACTTTACGAGGTAAACATCGGGGAGACTTGCAGCTCTCCACCAATTGAATCATCAGTTAAATCGGCATTGTGTGCACATTTTATATAAAAATAAATTACATGGTAAAAAGGAGAGAATTAATGGGTGTTTTTCCTTCCTCTAAAATGTATATTCAATTATGCGCCTTAAACTAAAGAATTAACCCTTTGATTTCTCCTTCACTCGTGAGCAGAAAATCAATTTGTTCAACATCAAACGCCACTTCTTCTCCAATTAACATCGTGTGATTCCATCTCCAGATCTGTGCTCACTTTTTCACCGCTTCTCTCTCTCTCTCAAGTGTTATAGAATAGTTTCATTCAATTTACATACAGCAATACATTATATTTCATGATTAAACTTGGTGTTGAGACCATAGAAATTTGACGATATACTTCAATTATCCGTCCACAATATAATTTATGATTATAGTATAAATCAAATTATTCCTTCTCTACGCGATCATCTTCCTTTATCCAGAGCGAGAAGCTCAACTAATCTTTTGCCACGTCGCCTTTTTTTCCGCCATGGCAAATGAGCGAAAGAATAATATAAATCCAAATTACAGTGCGAAGAAAATCTAGTTTGGTTATACTTCAGCAAATTTTTGCCCAAATTTCTCGAAGATAACTATATCTACATTGTTCCTCATTGTCTTCTGCATGATTCAATTTATCTCCTCTCTGCTTAATTGTAGGAAAGCGCTTGGGCCACACCGTTGACAGTCTTTGATTTCAGGACGTCGTTCTCATACGACATTACAGTTTCCTTGCCATTCTCGTATATCCTGCACAGCCAAAGAGAAAATATTAGCATTTACCCAACAACACAGTGAATGTCTTTGGTAATCGAACCTCTTCGTCATCAGTTTCTTCCCGTTGACAAATGTGGTGGAAGTTGAGGTGCGCTTCACAGCTCCGCCGCCGCCGCCTCCTCCGCCGCCACCAGCGCTGTTGAAGGAGGAGAAGGATGTGAAGGCGCCGTTCATGCCGCCATTGTCCATGCTGAAGAAGTCATCCATCAGCGAGATGCCCATGAAGGGACTCATGAATTGCGACGAAATAGTGTTCTGAGGGTGAGAATGCCTGTTCGAACGACGTCCATTTGTGGCAGCATATGGCATTCCTGCAATCACGAAAAGATGTTAAAGTCTGCACTCTGATCTTAAGAGACGAATTGATTTGTAGCTCAACAATTGAAACTTCAAAATCAGACATAGAAAAAAAAACACGAGGCTGCTTTTCTTACCACCAAAAATATCAGCAAATGGTGAATTGCCAAAGAATTCTCTGAACACTTCCTCGGGATCCCTGAATGTAAAGCCGAAGCCGCCGCCCATGAAGTCGTAGTCATCAGGATCGTGGCGGCGCGATCGGTGGTGACGCTCATTGTGTCCCATGAGACCTTCCTTGCCATACTGATCGTAGACTCGCCTCTTTCGCTCTGTTGAAGAAATCAGAGAATGCAGAAGGCACCATTTAACATCACAGTTATATGTCATCAAGCAGTCATTAATGCATAATTAAATCAAAAGATTGATGAAGGGAGATCTTGTGGTTAGCGATCGCCTATCTGGGCATCCATTCCAGCTCATTTGCCTAATTTAGTGTGTCTCGATCTCCTCACAGCGATTAATTATAGTTTATCGAAATAACAGAATTAATACAAAAAAATATTCAGCCGTTCATAAATCAAAAGAAAAAGAAGAACTGGAATAGAGTCCTGACGTGATCAAGCATCATCTGTATTAGTTGATGATGGCGAGAGAGTGAAAAAAGGAGGGCAAAAATTAAGCTCTGTCTGGAGCTCAAAAATATACGTTAATATTTTGCACTCAAACACTTCTTATTAACACACCAAAAGAAAAACTGGGAAGTTTTCAGCGGAATAATTATTGTTAAGAGCGGAAATATTGGACAAGGAATTGTTGATATGTTCATCAACAACCAAAAAAAAACACTCTCTAACCGAAGAATCGATAAAACGGTGTCGTCTCAAACAATCCTCGGAAAGTAAAGACTCTATTCTGAGAACGATTCCCAGCAGAACGATGATAAGATGGTTCATAGTTGTGATGATATTTTTTGTATGTTGTTCTCGAATCATAAATTTTGCGTTTGTGCTCTGCAAAATTGGCCAGAAGAGAGAAAAACGACCATTGAATTTAAGTACCAAATATTGCGAAATACTTTCTTCTGTGCCTCTTTCTTTCCAACAAAGAATACTGAGAAATTCATTGGGAGACAAAGATAGCAGAGATAATGCACAACTTAGAGATAAATGACAACAATCTTCATACCATCTGATAGCACTTCATAGGCCTCGGAGATCTCTTTGAACCGCTTATTTGCCTCCTCCAGATTGTTGGGATTCTTGTCCGGATGCCATTTGAGAGCCAATTTTCTGTATCTGTGGCAAGAAATGCGTTGCAATTAATTACACAAATTGCCGACAAATTCCCCAAAGCAATACATACGCCTTCTTTATTTCCGCATCCGTCGCCCCTCGATTCACATCGAGTGTTTTGTAGTAGTCCACCATTGTCACGCTTCTCCGCAGCAGCAATTCACAAGGATTCGTCAATCGTTGGGATCAATTCTCCGGGCAGTTTTGCGATGGCAGGATTTCACGTGCTCCTCACTGAAGAGATATCAATTCCACAAACACCTGGCAAGAGAGCAAGAGAAGAGACATCTCAATTAACACATGTTATTTGCACTCTTCAAACTTTCACAAAATAATAGTCAGCAATTTACAATAAAATGGCAGTGATTAGAGAAAGATGAACACATACAAATTACTTCATTTAACGAAATATCGCCCACGAAAAAGCCCCCAACATTCGACTTTATGGAGAAACACACCGAATCTCTGACTCATTGTCTTGTTGCTGTTCTGCGAACAATTCTCGCGTGATTTTTCCTCTCCTCTGACGAAATCAGCCAAATCTCCCAAGGCGATTCACTTGTGCTCTATCGATTTCTGATAACTATGCAATTTATCGGCGGAATGTGCGCTGATTTTAGCCCCATGTGAAGTGTAATGGGGCTTTCCAAAAATTCCACTCGCACCTGTTTCACCAGGCGCGGGCGGGGGAGTGTATTTAAATGGGTGTCAGCATCAATGTCCTCACTAGACGATCATCGGACATTATGCTCCCACTAGACAAGGAAGGCCGACTCGACTCACTTTCGCCCTCTTGAGACTTCTCGCGCGCAGTTGCTGGCCCGAAGTATACACAGCGACTGGAAATGCTCTTACTCATCAACACCCCATTTCTCATTCAGGCAAGATCTCGCGGTCTTTAGCATTTTGCTCATTTACCGCTTTTTTCTCCACTCTTTTTTGCAACTTTTGTGTAGGTGAGAAGATACACGTAATTCACTTTTTGCCACTCATGGCGAATGAGCCACTATTTGTTCTTGATAGAGAGAGCCTTGGTACATCGCTTTCTACTTTTGGGCTATACACACTCACCCAAAGTCTTCTTAATCTTTAATGGAACAATTAAAAGAGGCGAAGAGGAAAAAACAAGCTGCCAAGAGGAGGGAATAATCATTATAAAAGTCTGCGTTGTGTGCTCAATTTGACGATTACTTTGTGTTTCTGAGAAATAAAAGGGAAGGATATGACATGCCACACACGATTTAATTCTTAACCCATTAGCGACAACGTGGGAAACGTCTGCTGAGCAATGTCGCAACTGAATTGTTGCGATAAAGAAAGTGATTTATATGTTAAAGTCTCTAAAATCAATATAAATTTGCAATTTCAAGTGCTCATTTAAAAAAAAAAACGCGTGTTCGCATTATCATTAATAGATAAAATCAAAGTAATTTATTCTGAGTTAAGATTCTTAAACTTGACGAGAAATCGAATTATATTGTTTTTGCCAAGATTCTGAATTTTTGTCCTGTTCAACGACCTAAATTTGCAACTTTAGTCAATTCGTTTTGCACTTTTTCCTCTTTCACGGAAAGTTTTCGGTCATTTATTTATAACTTTTATCCTAAACGATAAAATGTCATTTAAACATAAAACTTTCTATAACATTAATTTATAAAGTTTTGTAGTTTTCTTAAATTTGAGCAAATTTATTAATGAAATCACATCATTTTATGTTAATAAAATATTCTGTTTCTTTCAATCCTTTCTCTACGATATTCTTTTCTCTTTCATCACTATAAATGCCAATGTAATGGGTTAATAAAGAAATTCCTTCCCACAGAAAACCACCGACCAGTTTAGGATTCTTTTTATGTCCTTTTTCCACTTTCCTCTTGACCTAAAAATGTCCTTCAGTCGAATCTGTCCAAAAACTGAAACTCCCAAGCATTGTTTGAAATGTAAATGACGAGATGTGTCACATTTTCGAAATCACCGAGAAATTCCCATTGTGAGTGATGTGAAAAAGCCTCAGAAACATTAAAGGATGACATCATTAGAAATGATTGAGGAGTCGAGTGGATCGCTTAAGTGGTCTATTGTCGGTTAAGTGAAGCGTTGACTCGGTCAATTACGAGTCCAGAGGGATCATTGGCACCGGCCGGGAGTCGCTCTCATTGCCTTGCAATTAGAAGTCTCTTCAAACTCGCGGTGTTGCCACTGAAATTACTGCGACCATTGACGTGGTCTTCACACAGCCGAGACGCTTTAATTTACACGGTCAGTTGCTCACTTCCTGCCAACGCGATGGCCCGAAAGTGGCTAAAACCAGCGAAATGATAACAGCCCTGAAGTATTATTCCCCATGAAAGCTGCTTATCGCGAAGCATGGGAATCATTTTCATATTATACACACGTAAAATAACCTTGAATTTCTCACTCTTCGCGCGCGCTTGTCTTCCAATACAACCTTCAGGCACGCAAATAAAAATGTTCATCGTAAAAATTGCAAATGTATCGATTTTTATGGTGAAAACACAGCATTTGTAATTTGTAATTTTGTCCGCGATCATCTCTTTCTTCCCCTCGCGTTTCGTGTATTTTCCTTCCTACTCGCACAGTGGCTGTCTCGACATGTCAGAGTCAGACGCTGACAAAGTAGGAAGGAAAATACACGAAACGCGAGGGGAAGAAAGAGATGATCGCGGACAAATTACAAATTACAAATGCTGTGTTTTCACCATTAATATTACAGAACTTTCTGCCTTGTCTTCTTAAACATTTTGCAAATATTTAACATAACTTCTCGCACAATTTCACAACAATGTGTAAGTGCTGGGAAAACACTCACACAATATTCACATGTGTAGTAAATATTCCTGTCAACATTGTACATACATATTGAGGTGAAATTCAATTCACACAATCAATTAATCCTACGGGAGAAATGAACATTTTCCTCTGGCGCCCAAAATCGCCGCTCAAAATAGATCATCATGACTCTCTTGCTCTAAATACAATCGCGCGCGAAAATCAATATAATTTCATGCATAGAGCGAGAGAAAAACAGATTGTCGGCATTCTAGACCGCGCCAGACTGAAAAGGTGTGCACGTGTACACTTTTATGCTCAAGCCAATGAATCACACAATTTCTCAAACGGAATTTCCTCTTATGAAATTCTCCTCTTGCAGGCAAATGCAATTTTATCGAGTGCACACAAGCCAGCAACAATTGATGCCAGGGATTTGCGAAAAGCACAACAGACATGAAAACTGACCTCCATTTGAGGAAAATATTGAGCACTCTCACTCAAGGCGAGAATCAAGAACACTTTTGCACTCTGTGGATTTATTTTAAGACACTCTCACCCAAGAATATTGTGCTATTCATAAAACATTGCCAAATAGAATCAATCGCCTGCAATTCACATGGGAAATAGCCAAAATATTTGCTAAAACATCTTCACCACTCTATTAATTTTAGCGTCATAATCCCACTTTGTCTCAACAGATCGCCAAACCATTCACAAAATGATATATATTTCAGGAAAGTTGAACTTGAAAATGTGTTTTCCTGACATTTAAAAATAACACTTTTCCCCATTCTCACCGTGTTAAGCGTGACGCAATGGAAAAGTATTGCGAATTCTATAAATAGGAAAGCATTTCACTTTGTCAGACAATTCTTGCATGGACGTGCAAAGAAAAGAACATCGCACGTCTCAAGGTATATCACAATTGGATCAAAGTAATGCAGAGATCGATATCATCATTTCCAGAACATTTTGCTGTACAAATACAGAGTAGAGTTGTTGCGTAAATACATGTCGTGAGCCACAATAAAAGACTATTGACACAATTTTCTAAACGCAAATATTGATCAGATCTTTTGTGGATCAATGACGCGATCAGAATGTTGCCTTCATGATCAACAATTGCGAATTGTTTCCATTCATGTAAGCCACAGAGATTGTCGAAAAAACCACGAGTGGCGATTTTGGTAGGAATTAAACCTACGGAGAGTTCGTTAATCTTCGTCTCCTCCACCTGCACACAGAACTTTTGCAATATCAATTAGTAATATGATGATGACAGCGCCCAAAATAGACTTTTTTCTCCTCCGCCACATTAATTAACTCACAATCTTCTCTTCCTGTACACAAAACGTCTTTCTCCCTTCCCTTGCAACCTCTCAAGAAACTCTCCGTTGATGGAAAGTTTACATTCCGGGCTATATTTTCCTCCTTGCGACCCTGACAATGTTTGCAGCACACACTCACAAAATTGGAGAGGAAATTTCACTCTTGTCAACGATCTCTTCACTTCCCCATGATATTGTCTTCCTCGCATAAACCCATCATGTTAACTTAACTTTCCGTGTGACTAAAATTAATTCCGCCACCCCAGAATGACGTCCACTTTCTGTATGTTGTACGCAAACCCAAAATTCACCTCCTCCTCCTCAACTCTCCGCTCATCAACTTCTCTCAGTCTATTTCCAAACTTATGGCGCACTAAGAATAGACTCGAGTCTTAAATCGCAACTTGTGAAGTTTTTATATCCGCCACTTACAAGCCTTTTGTAAAACTCTTCCTCACCATTTTGCACCCATTCTTCGCGAGAGTTCACGCATGAAGAATGGTGCATTATGGGCAATTTAAGCCGATTACTTCTCTCCCACTGACTTTGGCTACAAAGTGTAGCAAAACAGGGCTAGATCTTTGAACTTGAGAGCACTGTGTGTAAATTGAAAATACGGAACATATTCATGAATAGTATGTTTAATGTGAAAATTGCCATTTAGTGCGCTCCATTCTTCTCCAATACCATACAGAATTATTCTGGAGGAGAATAAAAACGACTTCTTGTAGCAATGACCTTCTCACCTCGTTTCTGGTAATGCTAATATATTTGTGTACACTTTAAATACCACAACCAGGCAATATAGCAACGCTTGAGACAGTCATTGGCCTACAAAATACACCACACCATATTGCATGATCTCGCGTGATATGTATTATTTTGTTATTTATCATAATTACATTTTAGCTTCAATAGCTAAATAGAATTGAATGTCACGTAGTGAAGAGCTGATGAGAGGCAAAAAAGCAGTGCTGTGAACCAGGTAAAGTATCTCATGGGTGTGGTTGTGCTACTATTGACTTGAGCCATTGCCGAGCTAATCCATCAAAGCTCAACACCGCAGAGTAGCAATAAGGTGAAATTAATTGATTTATACGCATCGTGTTTTCATCTAATTACGCTCTTCTTAATCATCCTAGATCTGTAGCTCATTTGAAAGTGGCTTCTTGTATTTCCCATTACCTCATCTTCAATTTCATCGTGAGCTTTTTTACCCTCAAGCGACGTCCGATGTGGAAGAGAACTTAATCACAGCCGACAACGCTGTGAACCACACATTGCTCGCCTTCATTGCTCTATATTAATTGTTTAATAGTGACCAATAAAAACCGAATGTAAGTAATTGGAAAACGTTGACGGATAGAGAAAGAATTGGACAATGTGGTTAGATTTATGACATCTTTTCAATAAATAGTAAGAGGAAGCGGAGATACTTTAACTACTTGTGCCCAAGAGTCTTATTAACCGTGAAAACTCTTGATTTATTCATGAGCAGGTAAATAAAAGTGAAATGTCGATTGTATGAAAAATACCTAGTTTTGAATTCTTGAAATATGAATTTATTCTTACGATTAGTAAATTCTCCGTTCCGCTTCAAAAAATGAGACGAGAAAATCATTGTGCTCAAAGTAACTTTGCTTCACTCT